TATCATATGTTTGCACGTATAGGAGGATTAGGAGGAACTTGACGGAGGAACAAGGGGGAGAAGAAGGGGGGAAATGGTGGGGGAAAGGGAGAGAGGCAAACCATGAGAGACTCTTGAATGCTGACAAAAACTGAGGACTGATGGATGTGGGGGGGAGGGGGGATGGGCATGGAGGAGGACACTTGTGGGGATGAGCACTGAGTGTTATGTGGAAACTAATTTGACAATAAACTATTTGTAAAAAAAAAAAAAATTAAAAATAGGAAAAAAAAAAAGAAAAAGACAAATACCATAGGATTTCATTCATATGTGGAATTTAAGAAATAAAACAAAAGAACAAAGGAAAAAAAAAAAGAGAGACAAATCAAGAAACACACTTTTTTTTTAGGATAAAAAGTGCATTTTATTTTTTTAAGTTTTTATTTTAATTCCAGTTAGTTAACATACAGTGTTATGTCAGTTCCAGGTGTAATTCAACAATTTCATACCTCACCCCTGTGCTCATTACAAGCAGTGCACTCTTTAATCCTCATTACTTAGTTTACTCACTCCTTGCCCTACTTCCACTCCAGTGACTACCAGTTTGTTCTCTAGAGTTAAGAGTCTGTTTCTTGAATTGTCCCTCTCTTATTTTTTTTCCCCTTTGCTTGTTTCTTATGTTTCTTAAATTCCACATAAGTGAAATTACGTGGTAATTTGTCTTTCTCTAACTGGCTTATTTCACTTAGCCTTGTACTCTCTAGCCCCATTCATGTCATTGTAAATGCCAAGATTTCGTTCTTTTTTTATGGCTGAATAATATTCCTTTGTATCTATATACCACATCTTCTTTAGACATTCATCTCCTAATGGATGTTTGGGCCGCTTCCATACCTTGGTTATTGTAAATAATGCTGCCATAAACATAATGGTGCATATATCCTTTTGAATTAGTGTTTTTTGTATTCTTTGGGTAAATACCCAGTAGTCTGGTTACAAGATCATAAGGTGGTTCTACTTTTAACTTTATGAGGACCTCCATACTGTTTTCTACAGTGGCTGTACCAGTCTGCATTCCTATCAACTGAACAAGTGGTCCCCTTTCTCTCCACATCCTCGTCAACGCCTGTTGTTTTCTGTGTTTTTTTATTTTAGCCATTCTGACAGGTGTGAGGTGTTATATCTCATTGTAGTTTTGATTTGCATTTCCCTGATGTTGAGTGACATTGACCATCTCTTTATGTATTGTTGGTGATCTAGAGGTCTTCTTTGGAGAAATGTCTGATTGTGTTTTCTCTCCATTTTTAAATTGAATTATTTGGTTTTGGGGTGTTGAGTTTTAGAAGTTCTTTATATATTTTGGATACTAAGCTTTTATAAAATATATCATTGGCAAATATTTTCTCCCATTGAGTAGGTTGCTTTTTAGATTTGTTGATTGTTTACTTTGCTGTGCAGAAGCTATTTTTTTTTTAATCTTTATTTATTTTGAAAGAGAGAGAGAGACAGTGAAAGTGAGCACATGAATAGGGGAGGGGCAGAGACAGAAGGAGAGAGAAAGGATCCCAAGCAGGCTCCATACTGTCAGGATGAAGCCCAGTGCAGGGCTCAATCTCACCAACAGTGAGATGGTGACCTAAGGTAAAACCAGCAGTCACTTAACTGCCTGAGCCACCCAGGTGCCCTAGTGCAGAAGCTTTTTATTTTGATACAGTCCCAATAGTTTTCCCATTTGCTTTCCCTGCTTCAAGAGACATCTCTAGAAAGGTGTTGCTATGGTCGATGTCAGAGAAATTACTGCCTGTGTTCTCTTCTAGGACGTTTATGGTTTCATGTCTCACATTTAGGTCTTTAATCCATTTTGAATTTATTTTTCTGTATGGTGTACGAAAGTGGTCCAGTTTCATTTTTTTCCATGTTGCTCTCTAGTTTTCTCAGCACCATTTATTGAAAAGACATTCTTTTTCCCACTGGTTATTCTTTCCACCTTTGTTGAAGATTAATATCATATAATTGTGGGTTTATTTCTGATTTTTTTATTCTGTTTCATTGATCTATAGGTCTACTTTTGTCCCAGTATCATATTGTTTTGATTACTACAGCTTTGTAATATAACCTGAAGTCCAGAAGTGTGGTGCCTCCAGTTTTGCTTTTCTTTTTCAAGACTGCTTTGGCTATTTGGGGTCTTTTGCACTTCCATACATATTTTAGTTGTTCTAGTTCTATGAAAAATAATGTTGGTATTTTGATAGGGATTGCATTAAATGCGTAGATTGTTTTGGTAGTATAGACATTTTAACAATATTTGTTCAAATCCACAAGCATGGAACATCTTTCCATTTCTTGGTGTTATCTTCAATCTCCTTCATCAGTGTTTTACAGTTTTCAGAGTACATGTAGGTCTTTGACCTCTTTGGTTAGGTTTATTCCTAGGTATCTTATTATTGCATCTTTTGGGTGCAATTGTAAATGGGATTGTTTAGATTATAGAAACACAACAGATTTCTGCACATTGATTTTGTAGACTGTGATTTTACTGAATTTATCAGTTCTAGCAGTTTTTTTGGTAGAGTCTTTTGGGTTTTCTACATAGAGTATCACATCATCTGCAAACTGAAAGTTTTACTTCTTCCTTACCAATTTGGATGCCTTTATTTATTTTTGTTGTCTTATTGCTATGGCTAGGACTTTCAGTACTATGTTGAATAAAAGTGGTGAGAGTGAACATCCTTGTCTTGTTCCTGACCTTTTTTTTTTTTTTTAAGTAATTTTATTTAGTTATTTCTTAAATGTTTTATTTCTTTCTAGGGGAGAGAGAGAGAGAGACAGCGCGAGCAGGAGAGGGTCAGAGAGAGAGGGAGTCACAGACTGAAACAGGCTCCAGGCTCTGAGCTGGCTGTCAGCACAGAGCCCGACGCGGGGCTCGAACCCACGAACTGGGAGATCATGACCTAAGCGAAAGTCGGACACTTAACCGACTAAGCCACCCAGGCGCCCCTTCTTGTTCCTAACCTTAGGGGGAAAGTTTTTAGTTTTTCCCCACTGAGTATGACATTTGCTGTGGGTTTTTCATCTATAGCCTTTATTATGTTGAAGTATGTTCCCTCTAAAACTGTGCTGAGGGCTTTTATCATGAATGGATGTTGTACTTGCCAAAGGCTTTTTCTGCATCTACTGAAATTATATGGTTCTTATCCTTTCTCTCATTGATGTGATGTATCACAGTGATTGATTTGCAAATAGTGAATCACTCTTAAAACCCAAGAAAAAAACCCATTTGATTGTGGTGAATAATTTTTTAAATAATATTTTTGAATATGGTTTGCTAGTATTTTGTTAAGAAGTTTTGCATCTATACTCATCAGGGATATTCGCCTGTAGTTCTCTGTTTTGGTGGTATCTTTATCTGGTTTTGGTATCAGGGTCATGCTGATCTCATAGAATGAATTTGTAAGTTTTCCTTCCTTTTCTGTTTTTTGGAATAGCCAAGAAACAGACTCTTAACTATAGAGAACAAACTGATGGTTATCAGAAGGGAGCTGGATGAAATAGGTGATGGGGTTTAAAGAGTATACTTACCATGAAGAGCACTGAGTAATGTATAGAATTGTTGAATCACCATATTGTACACCTGAAACTAATATAACACTGTATGTTAACTATATTGGAATTAAAATTAAAAACTTAAAATTTAGAAGCAATGGTAAACATAACTAAAATACTAAAACTTTCAAAGTCAAAAGTACTTATACCATAATTTTCATTAGTTTCTTCTCTTCTTAGTTATCCTAATTATACTTCCTCAAAATTATCACAGCATTAATTCTGTGTTCTAATACATTATAAACGATTACTTGAAATGTTTATAAAATTTTAGAGTCATAAGAAAAAACAGATTAGTAGAGTCCAAAGTTGGTCTCCACACAATCTCTTGGGAAGCTACCCAACAAGACTGCTTGGCCCCACCACAGATCTATCAAATTAGAACTCTGTTGAGGTAGAGGGCCAGACCTCACAAACTGTAGTTAAAACAAAACAAAAAGAAAAGAACAAAATATTCCTGGGCTGATACTGACATAATCCCTGCCCCCGTGGACACACATGAAGGAATTAGGATTCAAACAGATGAAGAAATCTTTAAAGAGATCTAACACTAGTGAAAACCAGAACTATCACTTGAACACTCCTCTTGGAACCCTTAGTCCAGTCTTCCTTTTTCAACTCCTGCTGCCCCAACTGCCAGTGAAGGACTCAAAGGAAAAAGGATGTACTACAATATCATGTATATTCAGAGTCTCCCTTTTGTCAAAATGGGATTTAAACTAAATTGGATTAAGTTCTTCCTTTCCCTTTACCCAATGTCCACTTAGGCTTTGTTTCTGTTCATTTTTCAGCTATAGAAGACAACTGTACATTTGTGTTGAATGGATTGTAAGATATTTTGCATATTTTATACACTTTTCCCAGAACAGGGAAGTAGGCAATCTGGCCCTGAAACTCTGGCCATAGACTAGAACAGGGGTTGTGAAAGTAGGGCCTATGGGCCAAATGCAGCCCAGTACCTGTTTTTGAAAATAAAGTTGTATTGAAACACAGCCACACCTCTCCATTTTCATATGTCTATTATTGCTTTCTTGCTGTAACTGCAGAGTCAAGTAGTTGTGACACTACTGGGCCCTTTGCAGAAAACTTTTGCTGATCCTATTCTCAAATCATGAAAATTATCCTCTGTCATGAAAATTATCCTCTGTCATTAAGGAGAGACATGGTAATAAGAGTATCTTTTTTAGTTATGTTGTGATGATGATTATAATGACAGTCAGTTCTTCTGTGCAGGTGATAACTAGCAACAAATAACTAAAATGATAGGGAGGAGAAACACAAGACCGACAAACAAAAGATCGACAAGCTCAATATCCAGGACCTGACTACATGATAAATATTACAGATATATGAAATGGGGGAGACACTTTGGCTCTCAATGGTGACCCAGGGAGACCCTGCCCTGCCTCTCAACCCACCTGTTCTGCCAGCCAGGCAATGTGCTTGACCTCCTTGCTGCCTCCTGCTGTACTGGTTGCACCAAGCATGGCATTGAGCTCAGCCAATACCTGTGGGAGGAGAGCCATTATGTTGGTGTGGATAGCTACGAACCAGGAGTGTGCTGTAGCTGTATCTTTGCAGCGTAGGATCAACGTGTTCCTGCTATCAGGAGAATGTAGTTCTATCAATCTGTGTGGAAAAAGAAAAAGAAAAGCTAGGTCAGAAGTCATCAAACCTGCCAGAGTATAACATACATAACTGGAAATCTATTTTAATTTTAAATTCCAGAATAAAGATACTTTCTCTTAATTCCTTAGGGTCCAATTCCAGAGAAAACCACATGTGGAAAGATAATCATCAGAAAGACTAACTGCTGGGTCTGTTGTTTTAGTGTGTTAATGTAATGACCTAAAATGAAGGAATCCATTGTATGGTCTACAGTAAAACACCTCGCTTTGCTTTAATTTCCATGTCAAAGAAATGGAAACCATGCTTGTTGGATGTCATAGGCACATTGTAAAGAAGGATATGATATTTCTTAAATATGTAGAAAATTCTGGTGTAAGGTATTGCTAGGTAAATAAATCCTACTGCCAAATAGTGAACTGAAATTTTCACCATGCGGAATAAAGAAAAGAGAAAATAACCGAAGAATATTATTCTTTATGAAAATCTGAAACTGTTTTTTAGTGTCTGGGTAACATTATATGGTTAAATCAGCCACTGAGTCATAGCAGAAAAACAGTTAAGAGACCTTCAACCCTACGACTATTATTTGTTAATGCTCAACTGAGAACAATCTAAATTTCAAAAGTTATCTTTAGGAATTTGCTAAATGTTTTTATAAGTACATTGATCAAATTTCTTAGAAAGTAACTTATTGAGCACTGTCTTCTATTTTGGTCAAGGTTTTTGCCAACATGAGTTTAGAAAGTCAAGTACTGTTGTGTTCTAATGGGGGAGCATATACACCTTTCAAAATGGGAAAAAGAAAAAGCTCTCAGGAGTGTTCTTCTTGGTGGGTTAGAAAATGACCAACTGCCACCGACCAAGGACAGATCTTTTTATTCTTTCATCTTTCTGAAGACAGTTTTTGCTGCCTTGAAGCACTGTCACGAGATCCTACGCCACCTGTCAAAGATAAGCAGTTTACATGGATACTAGCACTCCTGCCTTGAAGCTTGTGCACCCCTCTCTTTTGCCACATTTCTCAGCCCTTAATGATTCCCAAGTGTTTTGACATAGTTAATATGGCAAATACTAACCGTCACTTGGCCAGTCTGTCCTTTCTTAAATAAACATTTATTGAGCACCTACTATATGTCAGTTAGTGTGAAACACTGACATTGGAGATAGAGTGGTGAAAAAGATAAAAATAAGATAGGTTCTATCCTCACTGCACTTATTATCTAATGGGGAAGGCAGAAATTTAACAATTAATGTAACTATGGGTTAAAAAAAGTGCTCCTATAAAGACTGTGATTACTATGAAGTTCTTGTTTAAAAGAGGCAAGATGGCAGGAACAAAGCAGGACTGCAAAGGAGGCCACTACACCTCTGAGGCACATTTACTGAGCTACTGTCCTGCTTTGAAGTGGTTTGTGTGTTTGTTTGTTTATTTAATTTATTTATTGTAGTTTAATAATTTTTGAGATAGAGACAGAGCATGAGCAGGGGAAGGGCAGCGAGAGGGGGAGACACAGAATCTGAAACAGACTCCAGGCTCTGAGCTGTCAGCACAGAACTCGATGCAGGGTTGGAACCCATGAACCGCGAGATCATGACCTGAGCCGAAGTCAGATGCTTAACCGACTGAGCCACACACGTGCCCCAATTTATTTATTTTTTTAAATGTTTATTTTTCAGAGAGACAGACAGAGCATAAGAGGGGAAGGGGAAGAAAGGGAGACACAGAATCTGACACAGGCTACAGGCTCTGAGCTGTCAGCACAGAGATCGACGTGAGGTGTCAAACTCACTGACCGCGAGATGATGACCTGAGCTGAAATCAGATGCTTAACCAACTGAGCCACCCGTGTGCCCCTGAAGCAGGTTTTAAACACATCTACCTTGTACTTACCTATCACCTATCTATTCACTTGCCCTCTCACTGGAGTTAGTCATCCAGCTACCAGTCTATCCATGTTTTATATGCCTTCAAAGTTCTAGGGCAATAGCCAAAAGGCCAAGAAGCTCTAGAAAATAGCCACAACATAAAATAAGATCTGGGAACAATCAAAATGTCACTTAAGTCCATACTAGAAAATTCATGTTAGTCAGAAAAAAATCTTTAGATAGCAAGTCATAAGGTATTTGCTTTTGTTTTAGTTGCAGTTTTAATGAATTTATTTATTTGGTTTCTTATACTTTAGCTAAATATAGTGAGAAGTAGCTTGGACCAAAATTTATGGGGTTTGAGGAACAGATTAAGTCTGGATACTAACTGGTAAGCAATGTGGAGTCACTGAGGATTCTCGACAGGGGAACAACATATCAAAACAATCAAATAAAAAATAATTTAATAAAGTATTTGTACATCTATGTGTATAGCAGTATCATTCATATAGCCAAAAGGTAAAAACAACCCAAATGGGATTGGACAAACAACTGACGGGATGGACAAACAAAATGTGGGATGATACAAACAATGGCATGTTATGCAGCCTTAAAAAGCAAAGGATTTCTGACATCAGCTGCAATATGGGTGAGCCTTGAGGACACTGTGCTAAATGAAATAAGCTAGTCACTGAGGGGGAAATGTTGTATGAGTCCACTTTATATGAAAGATCTACAGTAGTCAAACTCATAGAAACAAAACTAGAATGGTAGTTGCTGGGAAGGGGGGCAAATAGGGAGTTGTCTAATTAATAGATCTGGAGTTTTAGTTTTGCAAGATGAAAAAGTTCTTGAGATTGTGGTTATATACTTAAAATGGTTAAGATGGGAGAGCGCTTGGGAGGCTCAGTCAGTTAAGCATCCAACTCTTGATTTCAGCTCGAGTCATGATAGGGCTCCATACTGACAGTGTGGAGCCTGCTTGGGATCCCCCCTCTCCCCTCTCCTTCTCTGCCCCACCCCACTCACACTCTTTCTCTCTCAAAAAGAAATAAATAAACTTAATGGTTAAGATGGTAAATTTTATGTTATGTGTATTTTCCCACAATTAAAACCATAAAGTAAATTAATTAGAAATAACCTTATGGTAGGATGTAAGATGAGTTACAGTAGAGAGAGAAATGGCCTGGGGAGATTTAATTGGACCTAAGAAAGATGAAACTACACAGAGCTCACCAGTAGGACAGACTACTAGACAGGAGGAATTCCTCCATCCTAAAAGCCAGCAAAAGTAGAAAGAGGAAGATAAACAACTTAATATTCATATTGACCTTTACTTAGTCCTTTATGTTATTTTATCATATTTATTATTTATTCTTTTTTATTTTATATTTCACTATATCAACTGTTGCTGTCATGGTCTTTAAGCTATTTATTGGCTAAAATATTGATTACATTCTCTAGAAGAAAAATAGCTATATATCTGTTATGGGAAGAAGATTTAAAACAGTACATTGTACTCAATAACAATAAAATATAACACTAAAAGGTAGAATAACTTCTATTATAATTCTTTGGAGGAGTTAATAATTGCATTATTCAGAGAAACTATTCAACTAATCATTAAAGTAGCCAAACCTAATTTAGAGTATAAATTTATTTAATGACAAGTAGTTATCTATAAAATACAATGCTAGATTATTAGATAATGTATGAATACAAACCCAAAACAAGCTGTTTTATAATTTATTTATACTAATCTTAAAAAAAAGTATTTCCAGTATTTCTAGAACCCTCTATATACCACAGCAATTGAGTATACACATTTAGTCTATTCCTTCCTGAAATCCCACTAAATACAATGAAAGGGGATTTTTGAAAAACATAATGGATTTTTTTATTTAGCAGTATTAGGTTTACATAAAAAAATGAGTAAGAAGTACAGAGAACTCCCAAATACCCCTCCTTGTCTCTCCATAATATACTCAATCATTAACATCTTGCATTAGTGTGGTACATTTGTTACAAACGATGAACCAATCCTGATATAATATTCCTTTAAAACATTTTTAATGTTATTTATTTTTTGAGAGAGATAGAGAGAGAGCACACACCCGTGCACTAGTGGGGTAAGGGCAGAGAGAGAGGGAGACACTGAATTTAAAGCAGGCTCCAGGCTCTGAGCTGTCAGCCCAGAGCCTGAGGTGGGGCTTGAACTCACAGACCATGAGATCATGATTTGAGCTCAAGTTGGACTTTCAAATGACTGAGCCACCCAGGTGGCCCTAAAAATTGTTAGTTAGGCACCCCTCAACATGGATACAATATTATGAACTAAAATCCCAATTCACTCCTTGCGTTATATTCGGAGTTTTGGCAAATGTATGCCATGTCTCTACTATTACTGTATTGTAGAGAATAATAATTTCACTGCTTTAAAAATCCCCTTTGCTCCACCTATTGATTCCTCCATCACTCAGGCCCCAGCCCTGACTTCTGGCAACCACTAATCATTTTATTGTCTCCACGAAATCATACACTATGTTGCTTTTTCAGACTGGCTTCTTTCACTTAGCAATATGCATTTAAGGTTTCACCATGTCTTTTGTGGTTTGAGGGCTTATTATTTTTTTATTGCTGAATACTTCAATGTCTGGATGTACCACGATCACCTATTAAAAGGCTTCTTGTTTGCTTTCAAAGCTTTGGCAATTATGAATAAAGCTTTCATAAACATTTGTGTGCAGGTCTTTTTAAGAACATAAGTTTTCAACTCTTTTGGGTAAATACCAAGGAGCCCAACTGCTAGGTCAAATAGTAAGACTATGTTTAGCTTCGTACGAAACTGTCTTCCAAAGTGGCTGTACCATTTTTGATTCCTACCAACAATGAGTTGGTAGGAGTTCCTGTTGCTCAATGTTCCTCTTTAGTATTTGTGCTGCCAGTGTTTCGGATTTTGGCCATTCTCATATGCATATTGTGGTATCTCCTTGTTTTAATTTGCAATTCCCTGATGACATAGGAAGTTGAACACCTTTCATATTCTTTAAAACAATTTTTTTAATGTTTATTTATTTTGAGAGAGAGAGATAGAGTGTGGGGGGAGGGGCAGAGAGAGAGGGAGACAGAATCAG